GCAAAATATTTTGCTTACAGAAATTTTGTGAGAATGTTCAAAGGTTAACTGAATGTATTATAGTTGCCCTTTGTATGAATGAACACTGATAGCTAATATTATTCTCAACTGCATCATTCATAGGTTTTTTTTTGTTATGCTCATTACTCCCCTTTGTGTTCCACATGCTGTAGTACTTGTACAGTTCAAGTTAAGAATACCAAGTTGTTGTAAAGAAACCTAGATATATAAATTCATTCTTCTCACAAGGGCTATGCAATTCAAATGTATAACAGTTACATAAAATATATGTGTGATATACATCAATGCATGCAATATCTTAAAATATAGATGGGAATGCATGCGTTTGTAGTCCAATTGGAAAAAAAACCACAAAACCATTAAGAAAATTCTTCTTTACATAAAATAACTTCATAAAGCATCATAGGAATGGTATTAGACATAATATTCCATTGAAAAACCCAAGGGAATATGAGATAGGGTTTAATGGGGTAGAGAAGTAGAGAGCCAAAGAGGTTTAGAGAGAGAATCCATAGCTTAGGGCCTAGGCAACCAAAGACAAAGCCACTAATACAGGACTGAGGGAAATAAACTCATGCCTGTCAGAATTGAAGGAGTGCGGAGATTGGGCAGAGGTCATAGAGCTGGAGGAGTTCACCTGAAGGAGTGATATTTTGTTTACTCTGTTTTTCTCTTCACCAATGCTGGCAGACCTGCTTCCTGTTGTATTTCACAATAACACTGAACTCTGACGTTGTAATCTTTATAGATTATGGACAAAATTTCTGCATGTCCTAATTCGAAGTTTCAAGTTGGCACTTTCAAGTCAAGTTCCTGAATTCATGTATTGCAAAATTAGCTTGGTTTATTTTGTGAACACCATTCAATAACATTTGAAAAGAATGTTGTTAATTTACACTAATTATACACTAATAATTGTTAAGTCATTCCTTACTGGCTGCAATAGGAATGTACTAATATAGTTCAAGCTTTTCACAGAAAATCCACTGTGTGTTTCTGGCTGTTTGTGAACAGAATGTTTTATCCATTGCTCATCTGTGATGTTGGCTGAAGCCTTTTTTTGAAACAGACAAGGATGATGTTTCAGGCAAATGCCAGAACAATCATTCTGGGATATTAATTGCAAACAAATCTCTGGAGTAACATCAGTGAACTACTCATAAACAATTTCTGGAAGAATTAGACAAGACAGGGTGATGACTACACATTCAAGCTTGTACTGTTCAGATGCTGAATATAATAAAATAGGCACTGATTTGAGAAAGAGCAGTTACCTGAAACAATTCAATTATAATTTTCTCTCTGTAGGTAGGTAAACCTTCTATTCCTGAGATAGTCATTCTTTTATTTGGTGTTATAATCTATGGCAAATTTCTGACATCTTAATATTTTTAAATTAGTCAATGTAATGGTCAAGCTATTCGAGGCAGAGATAGACAGATTTTTATTCAGCCAGTGAATCAAGGTTTATGTGGAAAAGATGAGAATGTGGAGTTGAAAATGATCAGGTCAGCCATGATCTCCTTGAAAGACAGAACAGACTAGATGGGCTGAATAGCCTGCTTCTGTCACTACTTCTAATGGTCTTACTATTTATGAATACTTACCTGCTAATTGAAAATAAAATTAAACATTCAAAATGGTACAAGGATAGTGAAGAAGGCATTTGGTATGCTCACCTTTATTGGTCAATGCATTGATATAGGAGTTGGGATGTCATGATGCGGTTGTACAGGACATTGGTTAGGCCACTTTTGGAATACTGCATTCAGTTCTGGTCTCTCTGATGTACAAAACATGTTGTGAAACTTGAAAGTGTTCAGAAAAGATTTACAAGAATGTTGCCAGAGTTGGAGGGTTTGAGCTATAGGGAGAGGCTGAATAGGCTGGAGCTATTTTCCCTGGAGCATCAGACGCTGACGGTCACCTTATAGAAGTTTATAAAATCATGAGGGGCATGTATAGGGTGAATAGCCAAAGCCTTTGCCTGCGTAGGGGGCTGGGGGAGTGAGAGTCCAAAACTACAGGGCGTTGGTTTAAGGTGAGAGGGGCAAGACTTAAAAGAGACCTAAGGGATAACTTTTTCATTCGGAGGGTGGTGCGTACATAGAACAAACTACCTGAGGAAGTGTAGATGCTGGTACAATTACAACATTTAAAAGGTATCTGGATGGGTATATGAATAGGAAGGGTTTAGACCGATATGGGACAAATGCTGGCAAATGGGGCTAGATGAATTTAGGATATCTGGTCGGGATGGATGAGTTGGACCGAAGGATCTGTTTCCATTCTGTACAGCTCTATGACTCTAATTATTTATAGCTAACTGGAAGCATGTAGTAATTGCTACACCATAAAAGATAAAGATTAGAAAGTTGGGTTGATAAAATTATTGAGAATTAAATGGCAAGCTCTCTGTAGCTTGGTAACTCAACTACTTTGGCACTTTGTGCATCATTATCATGGTTTAAATTTGACTTACAGATTGCCAATGTGACGAATGGAAATCTGAAGATGACGTTGTGGTTGAGGCTATACTAAAAGCCATTGAGACTGAATTCTAATTATTGAATTATAGACCTTTTGAGAATATTTTTATTAAATCCATCAGGAAGATGAAAGCATTGAATGAAGGAACTCCAGCTTCCCGTAAAGAAAAAATAATATCCCTAGCCCAGAAATATATGTTACTACACCAATCATCTCAAATCAGTTTGATGGATATTTTAGTCGAATCATAGAAATTTCAGATAGCTTGAGGTAATTTTGACCAGCTCCACACCACTGCTGAGACTATGGTAGTTTATGGCAGTAGACTAACAAACTAAAGGTCATTAATTTAAATTTCAACATAGCAAACACTGAAAGTGAATTTTAAAAATCTGGTACTTTTCTGCACTGGTACCAGATAGTCTGGCCTACAAATGACATCAGTCCCACACTACATGATTAACTCAAATGTTCTCAGGGCAATAAGTTATGGACAACAGTTCTGCCAACATTATAAAGACAGACTTTAACACAAAACATTTCTGTTTAATCTTTTCCTGTTGTGATTATTTTGAAATGTTTAACTATTTCCCTCTTCAATGCAATGATTTACTGACCTTCAATAATGTTTTCGTGGTAATAACAATACATCCTTTTCCTTTTTGTCTTCTTTGTCTTTTTGGTCACCTCTCTAAACTCGCCCAATTTTAGTTTGTATTTGTTATTCTCTTTTTTAAAGTCTCCTATGTTAAATATGCAAGTTAAATAGATTGTTTTTATTTTTAGTAGCAGGGCAGAATATATCACTGACAACGAGAACATGGAGAGTTTAAACCTATCCATGAATGTTGGGATTGAAATTGAATGAATGTTTCTTTACCTGCTACAGCTGGCAGTATGGCCATGTTATTATCTAGTACGGTCTAGCAAGGATGCTTGAGGCCAAGTGGAACTAGAAAACTGGGTGATGGTTATATGCCAATTGAGGGTAACTGGCTGAGTAAGGGCTCTTTTGACACAGTGGTAGTGTCCTCATCTCTGAGATAGAAGGCCTGGCTTCAAGTTCCCATGTGTCATGACATTTTTGTACAGGTTGATTCAAAAATATCTAATTGGATGAGAACTTGACTAGGTGTGTATAAGTAAGCAAAGGTGGTGGAGCATGCAGTGTCTGAACAGGGACATAACTCTGACTACAAAAGCATGTATCTGGATTCTGTCTAACTAATAATTAACTTCTGGTATTTAACAGCCAGTGTTCTAAAGTGCCTTAATGGGGAATATAAAAGTGAGGCTCCTGTTGTAGCTAGTCTGATTCCAATAGAAGACTGCATTCAGAAAATCACTGACATTTTTGACTTAAACTCAGAACTTTTTTTTTGGGTCACAGCTCAGTTTCTTATTCTGCTTAAGTTACAGTGAAATGCCCTGAAAGCACCATGGAATTTTTGGTCTTCCAGCATAACGTCTGGAAAAATGTGAACAACAGGTAACTATAGATAGGGTACTAGTAAAAATACACATGGTTTATGCATGTGTTCACCATTGTTAACATATCAATATTGGTTACATTTACAGGTTACCAGAGATTGTAGTTTCAGCAGATAACATCCTAAACTTTGAAGGCCAGAAAACAATGCTGGGAAAAGTTTAGTAAAACTTTGTTAGTTTGTTTAGTTTGGGAAAAGTCTTCGCAGATTTATGTGCAATTCCATTATTTTAACAAATGGACACATATGTTTACTTTAAATGGACGGAGTCAGAAATCACATGACACCAGGTTATTGTCCAACAGGTTTCTTTGAAATCACAACCTGGTGTCATGTGACCTCTGATTTTGTCCACCCCAGTCCAACGTCGGTACCTCCACATCTTAAATGGATGGAACAGCCATATGTTAAGGGCTTATATGCCACCATCACCGAGACAAGTTATGATATTGCTTAGTTAGTTCCATTTGCTGGTGAGGCTGTGTTTACTATCTGCCTGGTTGAAACTCCAATGAATTCTATATGAGTCCTGCAGCTAGGAAGATTACTTTTCACTTTATTTGGTTAAGTTATTCAAAACCCTGTGTGACAAAAATAGCACCAGTGGAATTTCAATGCTCGAGTTGGTATGTCATATTTCTCACAATTATTAAAATTAATCTATATATCTAAAATAATTCTAACATGAAGTTTGAAATTTTAATTGTGTTATGCTTAAAAATGCATATATATGAATAAAGATGGTACAATAAAAAGTGACCATTTTTATAAAACCCTATATAATTACAATTAACACAGGTAATGTGGAAATGAACTATTGGCAAATCAGAATTTGCAGACCATCTCAATTGCTGTAATAATTACTGCCATATCTTCTATGTCCACCACAGACCCATGTATAAACATTTAGTTCATTTCTAATACTTAAAGATTTACAGAAGAGGTGGAGACAGAGACAAAGAGAAATATAGAAAAATAAAGAAATAAAAAAGATCATACCTGTCCAATTATACCAGCAATTTTAGGTGCCGGTTTTCCTTTCTGGTGAGATGTTGTTGGCGGGCTCTGTCCATCCCAATTTTGCAGCTCTTTAATGTTTTTTAAATACAATAGTGCCTTCAATCCCGTGCAATAGTCTTCAATTAATGTGAAGTCCTGATTCTGAACAGCACTGCATACCTGTGAGTGTAAGAGGTTATTTTAATGTGTGTACAGTTATTCTCATTTGCTTATAATATATACATTATACTATATTTTTAGCTGTTGGGAGAAATAGTTTGTTAGTGGGGATATGGAATGATGAACAACATTATTGCTTCTATCTAAAACTGCTGCAGATTTACTTAAGTGTCTATTAAATTCATTTATTGTCTGTGTCGCATTCTAAGTATTCTTAATGTAACTTTAAGAAATCTTACTCTGACTTGCTTTAAATGCATCACCACCACTTAAACAACTACATCGAATTAAACTGGGAAGTCAAAAAAGTTAGGAAGGTTTGGGACTGGAAAAGACTCTACATTTCATCTGATCCAAGTAAAAAAGAAAGACTGATGATTCTTAATTGTATATTCCTGCCCCTTTCTTCCTTATTATTTCATCATTATCTGCCTCCAATAAACTCCCTAGAAATTCCATTTCACACATTCATTGCTATCAGTGCAAAAACAGTTAAACCTGAACTGTATGTCTGAGCTCACGCACTTTTCTTTTCGAAGTTGGGTCAATTTTGTGCAAATTATCAGAATTCAACTTGTCCTTTTTAAAATTCTTTTATATGACACATTTCTGGATAGGCCAACATGTACAGTCTATCTCGAAGTGATCTTTAGAAGGTTGTGGTGAGCTGCCTTCTTAAATTGCTACAGCCCATGTGGTGCAGGGATACCCACAACGCTGTGAGGAAGTGAATGTGTCTTCTGCCCTTGTCCTTCTAGGTGGTAGAGATTGGAGATTTGAGAAGTGCTATTGAAGAAGTCTTGTTGAGTTTCGGTAATGCATCTGTAGATAGTGTACAATGCTGCCACCCTTTGCATTGGTGGTGGAGGGACTGTATATTGAAGGTGATAAATGAGATGCCACTCAAGCAGCCTCCTTTGTCCTGGATAGTGCAGAAATTCTTCAATGCTGTTGGAGATGCACTTAACCAGTCAAGCGAGTCATATTCCTGAGTCAGTCAAAAGCTGCCTTTAGGTCAAGGAAAGTCACTCACCCTTGGCTCTTGAGTTTAACTCCTTTGTCCTTGTTTGGACCAACACTATAATGAGGCCAGGAGCAGGGCACCCGTGGCAGAACACAAACTGAGCCTCAAATAATTCTTGAGTAGGTGCCACTTGATAGTGCTGTTGACGACTACTTCTGTCACTGGGCTAATTATCCTGAGTTGACCGATGGGGAGATAATTGGCTGGGTTGGATTGGTTGCGCTTTTGTGTTTTCTATTCTTTTAAAACCCTCATTATTTGAACTCTTTTTCCCCTGAGCCTTCTTGTCTCCAAAACAAAGCTTTTCAAACCCTCGTCATCACTTAGATGCATTAAACAATTTGTTTTAATTGCCCTTTGCTGCATTTCCTCCAATACTTGGATAATTTAATGACCAGTGATTCAGATCTGGTTATCGTTTCTTAATGCTCTTTAACACTACAGAGTTGATTATTTTGAAATATCTACTAAAAACCTAATCCCTAGTGTGTCCTGACTTGCATCCTAAAACCATTTCTTCTGTTATTTACTTCCCGTTCTTAGTCTCATTACCTTGTACTTGTGCATATCAAATGTCTTCAGCAATTGACCAGTAACCCATCAACACCTCTGTTTTAAATCAAATTATTTACCATCTACATCACTAAAATTTAGAATGGTCTGCAAGTTTAGATTTTTTGAGGCTCAATTTTCTGTCGGTATCAGGACTCGAGCCCACCTAGATCCTGCCTTCTTGAAACATTGCAGATCTTGGGATGTAGAGACCCCACAGTACTGTTAGGAAGGGAGTTCTAGGATTTTTACTCAGTAATAGTGATGGGACGGCAATGAAGTTCCAAGTCAGGATTGTGCATGTCCCGCTGGGGAATCTACTGATGGTGATGTCCCCATGTATCCACAACTCTTGTATTTCTAGATAGTAGAAGTCATGGGTATGGAAGGTGCTGTTAGAAGAGCCTTGGTGATTTAGTGTAGTGTATCTTGGAGATGATACACCCTGCTGTCACTGTGCATTGGCAGTGAAGGGAGTGAATATTGAAGGTGGTGGATGGGAACCAATCAAGCAATCTTCTTTCTCCTGGATGGTGTCAAGTTTCTTGAATGCTGTTAGAGCTCCAGGCAAGTGGGGAGTACTCCATCACACTTTTAACTTGTGCTTTTGCAGATGGTTGACAGGCTTTGGGGAGTTAGCAGATGAGTTGCTTACTGCAAAATTCATGGCCTTTGACCTGCTTATGTGGCCATAGTATTTATGTGTCCAGTTCTGCTTCTGGTCAATGGCAAGCTCCAGGATGTTGATAATAAGAGATTTGGTGATGGTTATGCCATTGTGATGCTGGGACGCATAGAAGGAGGCCAAGATGAATCATATACTTGGCACCTACAGCTGAAGATGGAGACAAATACTTCAAGCCTTGTCTTTTGCATTGATGTGTTGACATCTCCATCATTGAGGAGGGCAAACACAAAAACTGAAAGAGCTGGGGATGCTGTAAATCAGGAAAAATAAACAGAAGTTTCTGGAAAAGCTCAGCAAGTCTGGCAGCACATGTGAAGAAAAAATCAGAGTTAACCTTTCAGGTCAGTGACCCTTCCTCAGAAGCCCTGAGGAAGGGTCACTGACCTGAAAGGTTAACGCTGATGTTTTCTTCATTGAGGAGGGGGAGGTTTTTGGATCCTCCATCTCCTGTTAATTGTCCAGATGTCCACTAACATTCACAACAGAATATGACAGGGTAGCAAAGCTTCGATGTGATCCATTGTTTGTAAGATCCACTTAGCCATATGTATTGCATGCCACTATCACTGTTTGGCATGCAAGCAGCAGCTTCATCATACTGACAGTGCATATTTTAAGTATGCCTGGTGATGCGCATAGCATGCCCTCCTGCACTCTTCCTTGAGCAGACGTTGATCCCCTGGCTTGATGGTAACGTTAAAGTGGAAGATGTGTCAGGCCATAATATCACAGATTGTGATTGAATACAATTCTGCTGTTGCTGCTGGCCAGCAACACCTTATGGATGTCCGCTCTTGATTTGCTAGATCTCCTTGCATCCTATCTCTTTTAGCATGGTAGTAATGCCAAATGACACAATGGAAGTTTACTCAATGTAAAGATAGCAAAGCCCTTTCAATTTTTCAGGATTAACAGGGCTGTGTTTGCCATTGTCATTTTAAGTGTCTTAGTTGATGCTGGTGATTTCATTCCTTTCTCGAGTGGCTTGCTAAGCCATTTCAAAGTCAAACTTTTATTCATTCATGGGATGAGGGTGTCGCTGGCTAGGCAGCATTCATTGGCATCCCGAATTGCCCAGAGGGCAGTTAAGACTCAACCACATTACTGTGGATCTGGAGTCACATGTAGGCCAGACCAGGTAAGGATGGCAGCACTAGTGAACCAGATGGGTTTTTCCAACAATTGGCAATGGTTTCCTGGTCATCATTAGACTCTTAATTCCAGAAATTTATTGAAATCAAATTCCACCATCTGCTGTGGCAGGATTCGAACCCTGGTCACTTAAACATTATCTGGTCTCTAGATTAACAGTACAGCGATAATAACACTAGGCCATCGCCTCCTCCAATTGATGAAGTCACGTGTAGACCAAACCAGAGAAAGATGGCAGATTTCCTTTTCTAAAGGACATTAGTGAGCCAGGTAGGTTTTTATGGCAATGGTTATGTGGTCAGATAGATTAGTTTTTAATCTCAGATTTTTATTGAATTCAAGTTCCACCACCTGCCAAAATGGAATTTGGCCCTATGTCCCCTATTAGCCAAAGAGCTCTGGATTACTAATCCTGTATCAGTACCACTACATGACAACCTCCCATTTACTCTTAAGGTTCTTATTTTTATGATCTTGTGTTCCTATATTCCCTTTTAATCCTCCATTCCAAAACTGCAGAACCAGTCAAGTGAAAATGGTGTTTCTATCTCATGAGGATGAAACTTGGGATTTTTTTCAACCTTGCACACAATCAAGGCAATGGCACTCAGTGCAGAAAATATGACTTGCCTGCATTGCCAGTTGAACTACACAGAATATGAAGTAAATCTTTGTCCCCTGTGCCCAAATAACACAGGACTTAAATAGCCGCACTGCATTATCTGGTTGGTTAGTTTAGTTGGCTGGACAGCTGGCTTGTAACTCAGAGTTAAGCCAACAGCATGGGTTCAATTTCTGCACCAGCTGAGGTTACCAGGAAGGTCTATCCTTCTCAACCTCTCCCTTCACCTCAGGTACAGTGGCCCTCTGGTTAAGCCACCACCAGTTATCTCTTCCTAATGAGAAAGCAGGCCTATAGTTCATTATTTGTCTTCATCTGAGTGCCAAGTGTCTTTCCACTTTGGATGGTATTGCAGGTCAATAACATTTGGTTAAAAAAATTTATTGTCTTCAACATTTACTCATTTAAGCTCAATTGTTTAATCATAAATGAAGCAAATTGAGATTTTTTTTGCCCTGTAATATGATTTATATGATCCAATGGTCAACTATTTTAAGTTAATATATCTCAGTAGGAATAAAATTAAACTTCAAAATTTCATAGATGGGATAATTATTTTTGAGCAACTTTGAAATAGCTAATTGCAAATAGTCAATCAATTATTGCACATTAAATACCATTTATCTCTTTCCAACTTCCTTCCTTTACTTCAACATCAGGAAGAATGCATATGTATTTGTGTTATACAACCAATAAAGTCTGGGCTCAGGCTGTGTACAAGGCAGTTGTGATCTCATTTATTCCATGTGCTTGATGGAGAAGAGTAAAGGGAAAGGGGCAGTGCACTTAAAGAAATTGCCTGAACTCTCCACGAGACAAAATAGAGCATATGTTGGTAACGATGCGCTGGGAGCATCCAGTCATTCCAACAGAATTGCAATAACTTGTGTATAACAAAACAACCACTCCCACTACCTGAACCCTTGTGGATCTGTTAGATGAGGCAAAAAAAAGATGAAAAC